GCAGTTAGGTCTTTGCAGACTTAGCAGCAGCCACAGCTCTGACTATATAAAACTTACCATCATCTTTCTGCTTCGTCTTGAAATGGCAGGTCAAGGGTAAGAGACCTCCCAAGTCAGTGTCTACTCTGATGCTATATATACTACAAACTTTTCTCTGAAATGCTTCCTGGTATTTTCTCAGGGTGTGGAAGACTAGAGAAAACATACACATGCTTGAGCTGTACGGGATGCTATGACAGAGAGGAAAGATGTTGCTGGTCTTTCACAGATTCTCTTCACAGCCTTTACCTCTTTCCTGGGTGACCCAGAACTCAATGAGTGAGAAAGACAGAAACTAATTCTAGGCTCTCAGTACTGTGAGGCACCTGATCACCTGAAATATATTGGTTCTGGAGGCACCGAAAACAACAAAACCAATAATTTTACATTTTTATTTAATGGGTTATTTTTAGAGAAGGAATGTGTCAGGGCAGCGAGTTTCTTGCATTTTGGTGGAGCCTATGAAGAGAACCATCAGAAAATGGTGATCTCTTGTTGTGTGACTACCAGCCATTTTGTTTTATAGGCAGTTTAGCGATTTCTCTAGTAGGTCTTGTTACAGCAATATTTGTTTGTACTGTTTAATGCCTTACATGAAGTTCTTCAGACTAGAAGAAAGGAAGGCATTCCCTTTTAAATGAAATACTGATCTGTTATCACTCACCTGGGTTTGAGTTACTTTTTTTTTCCATTTCTAGACTATATCTTGAATAGATTATAGAATCATAGTCCAGTGTAGCACTTCATCCTCAATTTCCAAGAAATTCTATATGCTACTACTTGGTTTAAGTTCTATGGGCAACCTTTTTTTTATTCCGGTTTCTCTGATTCTAAATTTTGATACCGTGTATGCAACTCTAATCTGTTAGCCCTTAGCAAACACTTAGGCTATTAGAACCAAACCAAGCAAACATTTAAACTGTAACTGAATCAGCTTTCTAAGTGTTAGTGGTTTCTCAAGTCATTAATAACCCTACTTATCAGAATATCTTTTGCTCCATCAGTATTACTAGTTGACTTTTACATATATTTCTCCAAAAATAAGAGTAATTTTCTACAGGTAGGATAAGATATTAAGAAAAAGCACAAGTATTTGCACTCCTTAGGCTATAAAATTAGAGACCTGTGATTTTGTATCATAAGGTGATCAAGGTACGTTGTGTTGCATTGCAATTCCAATATGAAATAAACTCTCATGCTACAGGTTCATCAATTTGAGGTTTTTTATCTCTGCTTAGAGAAATTAAGCAGATTGTGCCTGTGAACCAGAGAAACCACACACATGTGCATGAGTGCGCACTTCTGCTCACCGCCCCCTCCCCCACCAGTTCTTTCACAGAACTTGTTCTGGGTTATGTTTTCTTGTTGCTTTCCTGCTTAAGACCAGCCTGTAAAACCAGGGAACCCTTGAGAGAACTATGCTAAATACCCCTTCATAGTCTGTCCTTGTGGTCCTCAGCACCATACCTCCTCTTAGTTGGAAGGTTTTTATGCCTATATGTGGGGTTTTTGAGAATGGTACTAATGCTGTCAGTGGATGTAGAAACTTGGACTGACTGTAAGTAGCTTGGAAGTTTGAGCTCCTACTTAAAGTACGTACTGTACTTTGGTACCTTTCAACTGTGACAAAGTTAGGGTTACTTATCCGCATGAAATGGTCTGAAGCAGCTGTTGCATGAGTGCTATATCTGCACTGCTTTGCCATCCTTGGTTAAGCAACTTCCTGTTGGAACCGCTGATCTGTGTAACATTACTGTATGCGACAGAAGTGGTCAGGCTGTGTGCCATCTTGTATGCGTTCAAACCTACTTCTAAGTACTGATTTTGAGGAAATTGTATTTGGATAACTCAGGTGTGTGTGGGGTCACATTTAATTCTGTATTCAATTTTCCTATAATCCTGTTGGTAAACTTTGCTGTCATAACACAGTTTTACAGATTTTACTTTTGGGGATAATTTTTGGCTTAGGCATCAGCTGAGGAAGGAGGGGATGTCAGTCCCCTAGTTGCATCTATTGTGGGCCTGGCATGGTGGAAAAATAGGGATTGCTTGCAACATACTTTGCACTTAAAGCTTCTGCCAATTTCCTAGAGGGATTATGATTACCCGTAGTTTTTGTTAGTGGCCGTTAAGGCTGTTGGGACTGGTAGCTTCAGCTCAGCACTAGTTGCATTCTCTTGGAAGTTTCTGGTGAATATAAAATAAGGTTTTTGGGAATGGCAGCAATACAGAACAGATTCAAAACCATATCTATAGGCTTCTTTATTTGCTAGTCGTGGATTGTGAGCTTGGTAAAGCCTCTGGAGCGACTGTGGGATCTCAAAGGTAAAATAAAACCAACAACAAGAACTGGAAATGTAATTACCCAAAAGAGCTGGTGGGGGCGGGGGGGGGGGGGGGGGGGGGGGGGGAGGGATCATGGAAAGCCGTGTATATTCAGGGTATAGAAAAGGGAAGAAAATAAAAAGAGTGGGCACATGGAAAAATGCTGTGTAGCAACAAAGAGCTTGTATCACTTTCATGGGTAGAAGCCACGCCATGTAAATTGTTAGATCTTTTTTTGAAATTGGGGGGAAGCTTATGACATTTGTATAGTTTTTAGGAAGTATGAATTTATTAAAGTAAAAAAAAAAATTGTTGAGAAGGTCTCAAACTTTCTTTTTAACTTGGAAAACAAAGACCTAAGAATAATGGGTCAGTTTTAATAATAGGAGACTAACAGGTTGGAAGAAGATTTTTAAGGGATCTGCGCTTGGGATATGGTAGTCAGCATTTTCATAAATGTTATCTTGCTGGTATCTCTCAGATCAGAATTTGCTCATGAAACCAAATAACTTGGGGTAGTTAAAACTAAAGCTTAACTGGAAAGTGTTGCTAAAGGGAACCTGTTACTTGGACTAAGGCAAGACATTTTATATTGATAAATGCAGTGGAATCCACGTGGTGGGTGAGGGGTGGAAATCTAAACAAGGCAAATATCTGTGATGATTTCAAAATCTATCACAGGAAAAAACTGCTAGCACAGTAGTGATTAAAAGATACAGATAACACGAGAAATTGATAGTAAAGGCTTTTAGAGCAAAAGAGCGAACATGCTAATGATATCTTCAAATTTTGAATAATGGTGTAGTTTTTGTTTCATCCTTCTCAAAGTATGTAATAGAACAATAATGGGTTTGTAAACAGTGATGGTCAAAAATATGGAACAGCACCTATACCTTTAAAAGCAGACTGCTTTAGCATAGTAATTATGTGCAAGAGGTGGGGGAGAAAAGGGATATGGTAAAAGTTAGAAAATTATAAATGTTATGTAGAGCTGAATAGGAAATGATTATTTTCTTTCTTTAAAGTAATGTAATTAGATTTTTTTTTCCTTGCATTTTGCTCAGAAGAATATGTAAAGACACCTGTGTAAAAATTACTGCTGCATACTGGTCTGTTTTAGCGAAAGTGTATTTATGCAGTCAATAGAAGTGATTCTTCACCTCTGCTTGGCACCATTAAGACTATGTCTGGATTACCGTGTCCAGTTTGGGACTCATCCCAGATACTCTTATACTGGAGAGGATCTGATGGAGGGTCTCCAAGGTGGTTAGAAGGCCGAAGCAAATGCTATACATGGAGAGGCTGAGATAACTGGGTTTCTTCAGTTTTAGGACAAGAAGGGCAGGGTTATTGCTATTTTCAGTGACCTGATAGGGAGGTTTCGCAAAGGAGGAGCCAGAGTCATCTCAGTCCTACAGCTGCCAAGGATGAGAGGCAACAGACAGAAGTTGCAACACTGGAAATTCTGATGAGATGTTGGGAAATATTCCCCCTCCCCCACAAAGAGATTAATCAGACATTGGGAAAATTGTTCAGAAAGGTAGCATAAACTCCAGCCTTTGAAAACACCCGTTAACAACTCAGCTGGACAAGACCACAAGCAATCTGATCTCACTTGCTCCTGTTTGAGCAGGAGGTCTGACCACCTGGTCTTCTGAGGTCCTTTCAAAGATGAGCTGTTCTGTAATGCTGTGGCTTTGTGGAAGACAAAAACATAAAGGTCCTAAAAGGCAGTGAACAGGTTCACAAGGTAAAAAAAAAAAAGTACATCAGTAGCTATTTAATGTCTATCCAGGAAGAACATCCATCTATGTACTTTTTGCTTATATATGGAAAGAGCATGCTCTGCAATTTTCTTCTGGTCCAGTTTGATACTTTGCTCTGTATCTGCCAAGATACAGAGCAGAACAGCTGATGAAAATGATCCCTGCTGGCCACGTATTCCCACTGCTGCTGCTGGCTTCTCTTGAAAGTTTAAAAAAAAAAAACAAAACAAACACAAACACCCCACCCCACTCCCCCCCAAAAAAAAACCCCAAACCAAAAAACCCCCAACAAAAACCAAACCAAAAAACATTAGTTTAGACCATGCATGTAATGGACACCATGCTGGGGCAGGTATGGGAGTACCTGAAACATTCTGTAGAACTTTACTGCTGTATTCTTTTTAAGGATCGGGTGTTAGCGGTGGATGCTGGGCTAGGTACAAGGGTACACTTCTGGTCTGACCTAGCATGCCTTTTCTGTTTTGCCTTTTTTTTTTTTTCCTTGTCTCCTGGGAAATAAAGGTAATGAATGGCTGTTTAATGTAGCTTAAAAATGACTGTGTTAATCGCATGAGAGTTGATTTTCTGACAAGTCAGTGAATGGGAGAATTTTCCATCCCTCCCTTTTGTTGCCAGTGTCCAGAAGTTATACTGTTGAGTAATAGTAGCTATTTCCTGACTGTACATTTGTTACAGTTAAGGTGATGAACGACAATAAATATAAGTTTGTGTAAGATTTTCTTTTCAACCTGTCTAAATCTATCTGAAACAAAACCCCAGAGTGCTACGTTTTTTATTTGTTCTGTTAATGTGCAACAAATACGAACTTTCTCTTTTCTTCTTTTTTTTTTTTTTTTGGTCTTAACAGCATAAGCAGCACTATTATGGATGTAGACAGCACAATTTCCAGTGGGCGTTCAACTCCGGTTATGATGAACGGACAAGGAGTTCCTGCCTCCTCTGCAAAAAGCATTGCATATAACTGTTGTTGGGACCATTGCCATGCTTGCTTCAGCTCCAGCCCAGACTTGGCAGATCACATTCGCTCCATACATGTGGATGGTCAACGAGGAGGGGTTGGTGTTACTTTTTGTTTTCTCCCTTTTTCTTAGTTGCCAATATTTTACTCTTTAATGACTGTAGTAAATTTTACGTTTTAAAGTATCAGTTCTGTAGCTAGTGGCAACTGAGGTTGGGCCTGCAGCAGTCTGGTATTAGGCATTCAGCTGTGTCTTTTGCATAATTCACTTGATTTGGTATTCTGTGTTTTTAGTTGAATGCCTAACTTTAAGAATGTAGTAAGTTCTTTTTAATAAATGATTTGAAGCTATCAGGTTTTTGATAGATGTACTAACTTCTCAACATCCTGAAGCTGTTGGTATATCTTTAAATGCTTATACTTGGAATTAATTTTCTTAAAACTATTAGTGTACGTGTTACTGCATGTGAACTCGGGTGAAGTTGTATCTTGATTATTTTTACGAATGGAGTCTCACTAGAGGTAAAATATATACAGAATGTATAATAGGGAAGATGTAAGACTCATTGACTTGAGACTACAGTGTCATACCAGAGCAGCTCTGTCTGTAGTACTGATGGCAAGGATACCTTCAATATAACTGCATCTAGTTTGGGTTGGTTTTGTTTTTTTTTTTTTTTAAATTGAGGTATATACATAATAATGTATATTTCAGTCTAATGCCTGGTCAAATGATGCAATTTCTGTTGGTCTCACAATTTTAATGTTTCAAAACATCTTCCAGTAGTGTAATTTCAACTCTGTACTTAACTACACGCCCCTCCCCAACCTTCCAAATTATCTTTGATGTCTGGAATATGTCATGTAAACTACCTTTACATCAAACACAAACAATCTGCCTGCCTTAGGCACTGTATGTTGCAGCTCTTTAATTTCTTGGAGAGCTAATATCAAATCTTAACCTAGAATAGTCATTATCTTTTGACTTTTTTCCTGTCACTTCTCCAGAAGTAAAATATTAGACCATTACACTTTATCTTGAGTAAGAGACTTAAATAAAATGCTAATTTGCATTACCTTAAATAATTTATTATGGAATTGTGTCACTGAGACAGCTGTGACTCTGGTTGTATTTAGCTAATGTTTTTTTGGTATGATTGAACTTTCAGGTCTGTATTTGGTGACTTTTTTCATTCCAAGCTCTAAGCAGAATCATCCATCCAGTGAGCTGGCTTTTTTTCTGTAGTTCACTTCATAGGTTCATAAAAGTGTTATATGAGTCCTGGATGAAACAATGAAATGGATGAGGTGTATTGGTATCCTGTGGGCTTTCACGTAACTGCATCTCTAGGGATCTTTGTTATCCCATTCATGACCCCTTTTCATTTCTTAAAAAGGGACTGGAAGTTTTTTCAGGGTTTTTTTATTGTATTTCTGTTCACTTACATTCCATGTGACACGATTTGTGGATATTTTTATTTAGAAAATGTTAGACTGCATTTGTCTTTCTGGAGGAGGAACTTGTTGGAAGCACCAGGCATCTAATAACTGTTGCATTCAGTTCACGCTTTTTATCCCCCTACTGGAGTTGGTTTATTTTTTGAAAAGTTCTTCAACTTGATGCTGTGAAAGGGGACTGATCCTGACTGTTTTGTTTCAAGGATTTGCCTGCCACCTGCTGGCGAGGTGTTTAAGTGGTGTTAGAAATTATATTCCTGTGGTTTTAATTGGATTTTGGATATTACTCAACTACAATGACTATACATTTGAAGAAAAGTGGGAGTAGCATCCTTGTGTGGTAAAATGTGTATTTTCAAGCTAATACTGAGATAGTGGCTCCAAACCAAACCAGATAGATCCATGGAGAGCCCAGGAAAGTTTTGGCAGAATAGTTTTACCTCCCCCAGTTTTTTTTCAAAAATATTTTGGATTCTGCCTTTTGATAAGGGTTCCCAAGAAGCCTTTCCTGGACTTCTGGTGGGTTGTTGTAAAACCAAGTGCTTGTTTTTTGGAGGGATTGCATTTCCACAATCGGTGACTTCATGGTAGTACTCCTTTGCTGAATGCCCTGTAGTCTGCAGTTGCTGATGAAAATATTGGGACAGTTACAGAGCTGTTGCAGAGTCAGGAATCTCAAATTCCAATTCTGCAGCTTCAGGGGATCTCAAAACTGAGGAGGAGCAGACATCAAAGGTTTAGGGGGTTGGGCCTTACGTGTCAGTAGATCTGGATCAGTCGTACAGACATGCAGGGTTTTCCAGTTTTGTATTAGTAAGCTGGGTCATCTATATATTATACAGCAAGTACATGGCACTCCTTTGGCTGCTCTTTTGTTTTGAAAATAGAGTCTTTTGAGATTGAGTTTTTTAATCTGCAAAAGAGAACAAGAAACTCAAATCCAATTAGTTTCCTGCAGTTCTGAAAACCTGTATTACGGACAATGCTATTCCTATGGATTGTATTTTGCTGCTACAAATCAGGGCTATACCTCCTTTCACACACTGACCTGTTGAGGAAATTCTAATGAAAGACAAGTTCATTGAGCTTCTTTAGTCTCTCAGTTATAGACACAGTGAGAGGAGAGAGAAAAGCAGCATGAGTAAGTTCTACTCCCCTTAATGCACTATTGTGCATGTGACTGATCTGTACACTGGAATCACAAAACACCCATAGACTTTGAATCCTATGAGAAATTGTAACTTTCTTCATCAGGAATTGACTATAAGGCCCTCACTAGAGGTATCCAGTATTCCATAATATAGAACTCTGGTATATAAACAACTATGTTGTAATTAAGAGTTTTCACTTCTTCATGCTCAAAGAATAAAATTATTACTTGGTTATGAGAGTAAATGATTTTATTTCTCTATCTGCTACCTAGAAAACATAAATTTGTCATTTAAATTGTTCTATCGTAATATCTGGTGGGTACAGATACTGAGTGCACACAAACTCTTTACAGTGGATGCTGTGGCTCTTGATTGTGTTTATCTGCAGGAACATCTGTTTTATATTTTATTCCAGTGACCTGCTTTTTTGAATACTTGTGGTTGTAATTATTTTTTCCTTGGTGAGATGAGAGAATTGTGTTGCAAAATAAATGGTTATTGTTCGAAATTCTGTGAAGTACTTTATATTGTGAAAACAGACTTCTTTGCTAATCTGATTTTTTTTTTTTGCTGTTTTCTTTGACTTGTGTAAACTTACCACATTTTTACTCTATTAGGTGTTTGTTTGCTTGTGGAAAGGTTGCAAAGTGTATAATACGCCTTCAACAAGTCAAAGTTGGTTGCAGAGGCATATGCTGACACACAGTGGGGACAAACCTTTCAAGGTAAGGTTCATTGTAAGATATATCATCCCTTATTTTAAGAGCAATCCTATTTATTTTTCCTAATACATTGTATTTAATTGAAAAATGCCATCACAGGAGGATTTCTTAAAAAGTATCCAGTGAGCTGAGCCTTCGTCTTTGCAATAATTGTGCCCAAAGGTCCTGTTCTGTTATGAAAACAGGTGAAGATACCATTATTGCTTCTCTATCCCTGTTTCTTTTAATCTGTAAATGGTAGGGGAGTCTAAAACTAAATAGTGCTGTAGTTCAATTTTTTTGTGCATTTTCCAGTTGAGCTGCTTGCACTGTAACAGTGAGATATTTTGCCTCATGCTTTACACTTCCATGTTAAACTTTGGATCGTGCCTGATGGTGCATGTTCTGTGCTTGAGTAAGAGCTGGTTTTGTTAACAAAATTCAGTTGAAACACAGTCAGTGACTATTTATGGTTAACCTCTCTGAGAATAATAAGGAAGTCAGGAATGCAGGACCGTTGAGCTGACTGTATTTCCTACATAGTATTTTCTAACTTTCTCTTTCTTTCTCCCCCTAATCTGTACCTGCAATTCTAGGTATAGTAGTGTTTATCATTCCCATATCCACCAATCCGTTATTAATGAGTTGCTTCATCCTCTTATGGATACAGTTGGGGCAGTTCATAGCTGTCAGTCCTGGATCACTTGATGGTAAGTCCCACCCACACTACTTCAGACTGAAGTTCTCCTTCCGTGTAGGATATGAAAATGAATTAGGGTTTATTAAGTTTAGGTAGAGTTTCATGCCTTCCTCTCCCCCACCCCCAGCCCCACCAAGTTTTAGTCACTGTTTCTCTACTTCCTTCTCCTCTCTTTCTTCTCAGGTAATATCTTCTGGCTTTTTTTTTTATTTATTTTTCAGGCAGTTTTATTAATAAAAAATACTTTTCTGTTACAGTGATGTCTTCCAGAAGTTACTTCTCCTCACAGCTTATAATAGTAGTTGTGACAGAAAACAAAATTAAACTCAAAACCTACAGAGTAAAAACTGTGTTGCAGGTGAAAAAGTTTTTTAGTAAAGGTTAGATTTTTTTTTTTCCATACTGAACTGTGTAGTTTAGTCTGAAAATTTCTGACTGAGAGGTGAATAACAACAGGAAACTTGCTCTTGAGGTTGCGATAGCCTTTGTTCAAAAGAATAAGGTTAGAATGCTCTTGGAAGTGTAGCAAAAGGGTCATAGATCCCTCAAAGTTTGCAGAGATGGTTGTTCCAGCAGCTGATCTAATCTTAAGTGTTAATCCCTGAATAAAATAAAACAAAACAAAACAAACCCTAGTCATCAGGAAGCTTGTAGCTTAGGTCGTCTCATTTTGAATTAAATATTCTATATACCTTAAAGTATAATTGCAAGCTTTGATCTTGAAGGAAAGTCTTTCAGTAGGTAATTTGTATACTTGGTCTAGATCAAAGAAACTCCATTTCAGAGACATTGGGTTTAAAAGAGGTGGGCATAGCTCAGAAATACCAGTAGTACTTTGGAGTCTGTCAGAGTTACCTAGCAGTCAGTAAAAGGCGGTATCCCAGTTCTTTCCTAGGCTGGTCACAGCTAGAGCCCTAAAATGTAAAACAATTAGTTCTGATAATAATCATCTTGTGTTAAATGTGTTGTTTCACTAGCTGATTTTCTGTACTTCCTGGTCGTACTAAGGGAAAGAACAAAACGCAGGCTAGGATTGCAGTAGTTAATCATCATGGCTCAATGTCTGTCACTTCAGCATTTTTTTTCCTACTGTTGTCTTCAGTCCCTCTGTTTGTTTTTTATCTCTGTGTTTCTCAATCTGTTCCTTCGGGCTTTGAATGGAGGGTAATTGTGGTCTGAGTAGAATTTTGCAACATCTTTTGTTCCCCTGTCATTTATGCTGAATATAGGCTTCAGGGCTCACATGAGGTAGCCAAGTATGTAAGTGTCTGTGTTAGCAACCTATTAATTAACTAGCCCCCTTTCCTTGCTTCTTTTCTTTTACAAGCTTTTGAAATCTACTGTGATACAAAAACACTTAAGAAAGTGTTGGATATTAGTCTTGACTGGTCCAAGAACAGCCATTACTAATTGTTTTATGGCAGTCATTCAAAAACAGAGCAAATGTTTCTGTTTGCGTTTAGCTGTTCTTATAAATCTTAATTGCTCACCTTTTAGGGAAAGCCAAATTTTTTCAAGTCAGATTTGGATTAAGGACCTCTTGTTCTTGATGATTACTGCAGACAAAATATCTCCCAAAACCTAAATTACAAATGAAATTTCTGTTGCCTCATGAGAATACACTTGAGTTCTAGCATAACAGAAGGAATCTGTCATTTTAGAGAACTTGCTGAAAATACCTAGTCATTCAGTGTTTTATTTAAAAAAAGGAAAAAAAAATCAGGATTTTTGAGGAAAGCTGTAAAAGGCAGTAATGGAAATAATATAGCTGTATGCTGTTGTCTGAAGAACTGCTGTTCAGGATGTTTTTAAGAAAAGCAAAGAACGGTAGCTAGGAAAGTGACAATTAAAAGCATGGAAAATTTACTTTTGTAAAGGTAAAAGAACACTATAATCATTTAATGAACACAGAGGAGAGTAATAAACGTATGGCAGGTTGCTATATTCCTATGCCTCTAGTTAAAATAAGAGACAAGTATTTTCTTAAATTGAAAGGCAGTTGGTGACTGTCTCAGGTATAAAGCTCTTTTTTTTGCATTAGAACTACTCTGTTGAAGGATATGAAGGATATGTCCCTGTCCTGTCACCCTTTTGCCTGCAAGTGGACTCATTTTACGTAGTTGCCCATTTTGGGTTTAATTTTCTGTTTTTGAGGTACACGTGGTGATGTCCTTTGATTAAGAGCTGTATTTGGCTGTAAATAAGCTGCTGTGCTTTCATATTAAAAGGTCTTTGTGGGTTTACCTGCCCTTTCCATGCATTCATATAAACTTTGTGACTGTGTAGTTCATTTGTCACAGAAATGAACCCAATTCTAAATTACAAAGGCAAAATGTTTCATATTTTCATAAGTTTCTCCTGTTTTTTCTGTTTGTGTAGTTTAGCGTGTCCTCTTCAGCATTAATATTGCAATACCTCTGTCACGGAAAAGGTGAATTTCCTTATGAATACGTATTTTTGAAACCGTTGTTATGCTAGCTCTGTTTTTATATGGGGCAATTTCCTGGTAGTGTATGTCCAGCTCATAAGGAGGAGTCATTTTATATCTGAGTCATCTGCTGAACTAAGGGGGGGGGGGGGAAAGAAGATGCCCTAGATACCCAGTTCCCCTTTAGTCATCAAAATGCTTTCCAAAAGGGGGGTTCTTTTTTATTTGGGGCACCCGCGGGACTAAGGGGGGGGGGGGGAAAGAAGATGCCCTAGATACCCAGTTCCCCTTTAGTCATCAAAATGCTTTTCCGTTTATTCCCTCCCCTTTTTTCTAAGTTTTTAATACTGTTGGCCTTGGGTTTCATGGGGAACACATGGATGGATTTTTTCGCTTGGTTTTTTGAGGCCATCATCACTAAGTTCTGTTATTGATGAAGTATCTTTTCCTAGGGCACCCACCAATCCCTTCACCAAAGAAAAAGTGTCCATTAAATGAGACATAGTTACCATTCATTGCAGCTAGTTCTCAGTCTGTAGTCAAATACTACTTCCGCAAAGCAGCATGCTTTTCCAATCCTACTTTTGGTAAGCACCATTTCCTAGATTTGTTTTTCATGTCAAGAAGAATAAACAAACAAACTGGCCTTCCAGAACATGTTTCTGGTTGAGAACTTGCCAGCCTTCCTCAGCCCACTGTTTGGTATTTTTGAAGTTACGCTGCTGCTCTTAATACCTGAAGTTCATTGCTCTTGTGCTGCTGGAAGTTTTCTCTTTGCTTGTTGCAGTCTGATTCTAGCCATCCTTTCATCGTTTTTTTTCTTCTTTTTTTTTTGTCATTGTAGACATGAACTTCATATAGGTATTCTCAGAGCATGTAATTGTTTCTCTGAAGACATTTAGTATGTTCATGTTTGTGTATGATTTTACATCCAGAGTTGAGAGAGAAAAAAATAAATGTTATTCTTTTTCAGTTCTGTTATTACATAATTTTTGCAGCTTTTTAGAAACTGGTGGAATGTTGTGGAGTATCATCAACATGTAGTGGTGGTCCTGTTGAGGGTTCAGCAACTTAAAAATTTTCAAGCTTTCAGAACATGTAGACAGGTGGATCTAGAGGAATAATCTGCTGAGTTAGAAAACCAATGCTGGTAACTGGCAAGCTGAGAAAGAATTTCTTCATTCACTTTATCTCTCTTCTCCTAAACTTGGCTGTTACAAATAATAAGTAGTTGAATAGTTAATATGCTGTGACAACTTGCATTTTCTGGCATGGTTTCTGGTACTCGAATTAATTGAAGTGCTACTCACCATGCCTTGTTGCTGTACAAGGCATTGAAAGTTACTTGAAGACGTATCAAATGAACTCTTAAAATGTAGTCTAGGTGACCAAATACAAGATGTTAGGCACAATGAAAGGACAAGTGGTAGAGTGAGCACAAAACAGTAGGAGATTTTATGCAAAATAATTGCAGATAGAAATTTTCTGTAAATATGAGACTGCGTGGTGGGTATGCTATCAACTGCTTTCACATACTGATTCCAGTGCGTATGCTCTTAATGTTTAAGATCAGTCATGAAAGGTTTGCTCATGTGGGGTAAATGCTTTCAATAACAACAAATGACAGTACACAGGTTCATTGGAGGCTTTCATCCTTGGCTTAAAAGGGGGGAGAAAGTAATAATAAAAATTTAAATTTGATGCTCATTCTACCACCTGTACCTTCTGGAATTCATTAAGGGGTAACTGCATTTGGTATGACTCCCAGTAGAGTAACACTTGTTGAAATCTAGAAAACACAGCCAAGCAGCTTCAGTCCTCATTCGGAATTCATGTCTGTTACTCTCTTGGCAGAATATCTTCTATCCATTAGAGCATTGCAGATGCAGATAGAAAATGTAAAGGCATTCTGCCTCAACACTTAGGTGATGAGACAATAAGGTTTAACCAGATGTCTAAAATCTTGCTGTTAGATTTATCGGAAAAATTACACATTGAATATTCTAAAAAGGAGATTTGGTTATTTTGAATTGAATAGGAAAAAACCCTGTATTGCTAGATATTATTATCCTGTTCGTTAAAGTCACTGCTCATTACTGCCCATTAATAATGGTGGGTATGGGTACACTGGAGAAATTAAACTTGTTACGTGTTGACTTATTTTCTCTTGAAGTAACATATCCACCAATCCGGACCCAATCTATCATATTTAAAATGGAATGCAAAATTTTGAGATTTAGGTTTTGGGGGAAAAATTAAGAGATTGGTTTAAAGTTATGCATAATAGTTGAGTTTGATTTACCAGAAGCCCTCTAGATCTGTATAATTATCTGGTGGGAAGCTGATTTGGTGTGACTTACCGTCCAGAGATCCTGAAGTGACAGCCTGAACTGCTCCTTTATCTTTGGAGAGAAGAGACTTTACCCATTAGTAACGGATTGCTGGATATATTATTTTAGAGAAAAAAAAGAAAAAAAAACAGGTAAGATTTTTCTCCTCTTCTACTATTTCCTGTCTACTACAAAGGCATTCTGTGTCATCTTTGATATATCAGCTGTTGATTATTTGATGACATGATCATGTAGTCTCAAACTACACAATATCTGAATGTAATGATTTCTGCAAATATTTCATACTGTGGCTGCAGGCTATAAATAGGCTTTCTGGAAAAAGATAACTTCTAGTTGCAAGTTGCATATGGTGAAGATTTAAGGATGCTGGTTTGGGGCTTTTGAAAGTAAAACTTGGGTAGAGTAAGAAAAGTAAGAAGTAGCTTCTGTAGATAATCTGTATAGAATATCTGTGATTGTTTTCTTTGTACACAACTAGACAAAAGTTAAGTTATGACATTGTGAGTCAAACTGCAGTTTGTCATAAAACAATGTTTCCCATCTGACAAGAAATACAATCAAGTCTTACGAAGGTGTGTTTTAAAAAGTTTTAGAAATGTGCTTGACACAAAGTTTATGTGTTATTTTCAGAAGGTATTGACTTTTGATATTATACTTTAATAAACTTGGAATATGGTAATGCATGTACTGTACCAAGACTTTAGATTATTTTTGACCTCTAGCAGGCAATGTCAAGACTGAAGTTTTAATTTTTCAGTGTGATTGAACTTCAGGGTGTGGGGGGTTTTTTTGCACTCATTTCTTTTTCTGTCAATGTTTGTAGGATCAGAAAGAGCTAGAAGCTGAAGTCAGGAGCATAAAAGTTAAATGAAAAGTTAATGAAAGTTAAACCTGAGTTTAGATTTAGTTGCTTAGTTTAGTTTCATGAAACTGCTTTTATGGGGGAGACAGCTATTTCAAGACTTAAAAACTGGAGAATAAAGAATTGTTTGAAGTAATGTATGCATGTATTTTACCTGTATCTGTTGATTGTGAGTTTGATCATCTTTAATACAACTAAGTGGGTTAGGTTCAAGGTCAGGTTGGATGGGGCTTCGAGCAACCTAATCTAGTAGATGATGTCCCTACCTATGGTAGGGGGGTTGGGACTGGATGATTTGGAAAGGTCCATTCCAACTGAAACCATTCCATGGTTCTATAAGTATACCATAATGTAAATGAGATCAGGATCTTGAGTGGTTTGAATTTCATAGATGTGCTGGGATTTCTTACATTGTAAGTCACTACAATATAAGTATACAATATTACTATTGTTTGAACATGAGAAATTATAGGGCGAGGTAAAAAGGTGTAGGTAGAGTTTTGGTAAAAATCTTCACAATTCTTTAAGATACTTATTAGTGGGGGAGACAGGAAGAACAAATACAGTGTGAAGAATACTAAAGCTTTTTGTCAAGGAATTATATGTTTGTAGTTAGCTCAGTACTTAGAGGAAGTAAGGGAAAGTTTTCTAAGATTTTTTTTTTTTTCCTTAAAAAAAAAAAAAAAAAAAAAAGGAAAAAAAAAAAAATGTAAAAAAAAGGGGGAATTTTTTAAAGGAAAAGTTTTTTAAATTTTTTTTTTTTTCCCTAAAAAAAAAAAAAAACACAAAAGGTAAAAAAAAAAAATGTGAAAAATAGGAGGATATTTTCTGTCTTTTACTATCTTGAAATATACATATACGTACTTTTAGTCCTATAGCAAGTATTGAGTCCTTGGGGATAACACAGGGTTTTCTCTTCATGGACGCTATATTGTTTTATGATGATCATGGAAAACCATTTGCTAGGTTTGAGGCAGAAATAGACTTTTCAATTTTGCAGCCATAGTTGGAAAACAACACAGTTGGGTTTTAGGAACAAAACACACTGAGTGGTGTTCTACTGCTGTTTTCTTGTCTTTCAATCAAATGTGCAGGCTTAGGGCAGATTACTGTAAGAGCTTGCAAATTCATCCTTAGTCTTCAGAGAAAACTTAGCACTATGTACCTAGTTGCAGCATTACTTATTCCTGAACTCCTGTTGGAGCTGCCTCATCAGTTTGCTGTGAAGGGAAGTGCTAGAGAAGAGAGGTACACATGAAAGAGCTGAGAAAGAGGGGAAGGAGGGGGAGGAGCAGAAGAGATGTGGAAGAACAACTTTCCAATGGTGTACAGTGGTTTCTGGCTACTGGCTGATAAACTCATTTGCCCTGCTACTATTATTTGGATCAGAAGAAAAATTGATCATGTGGATACACAATTCATTGCAGCCAGTGATGGAATGCATATCTTAAAATCACTTTTCTATTACCCTTTATGGTCAGAGCACAAGAGAAAAGGTTTGTGCCTCCCTCCCCAACAGTATAATTTAAATACTCATTTTGCAAATGAAATAGTTGTAAATATAAACCAAATACTTCTAAAAATACCAATAATTATTGTAGCCAGTATTAGCTTAGTTGCATGTATCTTGTGATTTCTGTGTTTCTGCTTAATTATTGTTGGACCTTTTCTTATTTTTCTATTTGAGAAAGAGAGGCCATTTTCTTTAAATAAGAACTTCCTTAGATACTTCTGAAATAATAGTAGCATCCCAAAACAAATGTATAAATAATTGTCAATATGATTTTCAAGTTACTGAAGTTAAAGTTTTAGACAGAAATGTAAGATAACTATTTATTGACTTTGTATAGCATTTACAAAAAGCGTTAAGCTGTTTCAAATTTAATGTGGGTAAGGATATATTTTTTTACTTCTGCCTTGTCACAAGAAAGGAGGATGTTAGAGAACGTTACTGTTATCAAATGCAGAAGATTGGAGAGCTGTTGAGAAATACAGAATAACAGTGCAGTATTTTGAAAGACAAGGGGATGTTGGTCTGTAAAGGGGAAAGTTGGTTTTATGGTTTATAGAATATAATATAGCATAGACAAATATGATTATACCATGGAATAATTGAGAGTTATAAAGTTCAGATAGAAATCTCTTTCAGATTATGTTTCTGTTTTTCTTCTTAAGAATTCATGATCATTAAGAATTTCTCTTTTTTAGTGTGTTGAAGGTTGAGCCAGAAAAGTCAAACCGAAAGATCTATCAAACTCCTGTGAATGAGTGCCATATAGCATGCTGATACAGTTGTTCTGTTTTTTTTCTCATTAGTGTGTAGTTGGTGGGTGCAACGCCAGCTTTGCATCTCAGGGAGGACTTGCCCGTCATGTGCCCACACACTTCAGCCAGCAGAACTCTTCAAAAGTTGCCAGCCAGCCAAAGGCCAAAGAGGAATCTCCATCTAAAGCTGGAATTAATAAAAGAAGAAAATTAAAGAACAAGAGACGACGATCATTACGTAAGTATTTCTAGAAGTAGAAGTTCTTGAAAGTTTTGTTTTAGATACGAAGTTTCTCTTCAATGTGGATGTTTCTCTGCAGATGTGAGTCTGGTAGTGTTGGTGATCTTTAGCATTAGAGTGTTGGTATCGATTGTCATGAGAGTAAAATAATTCCAGATTCTGTTTGTCTTCCTTTTTAGGGTAAAGGATCTATGTGTTCAGTAGAAAAGACCAATTTTCTGTGAGCAACAGTTTGAGTTTACAATTTAAAGATGCTTTTCACTTTAGAGTCGTCTTTTGTTTACTGACTATAATACTGTTGGAAAATGTTCTGTTTAGTGATGAAGTTCAGTACTGCAGACAGGGATGGCAGATTCCTATAAATTAGAGATAAATACATATTATATAAGCTTTCTTTTGAGCGCAACATTTCATTTGCCTAATGACAGTTTTGTGAGCATAACCAAGATCTAATTTGGGGAAGATTTGTCTTGCTACATTTTTTTAATCTTTCTCTGCACAGTTCACGTTCATTAAATTTATACAAACCAATGTCCTGAGAAGTGTGATTTATCATTTGAAGTGAGAATTGTTTCCCCTAGGAAGTAATAATCACTTTCCCAGTACCTTTTCTAGTCCATTTTGATCCAGCATCAGACTAGTAACCACGTCAAATTTATTTAGAGATTCTAGTGTATAGAAATGGTTAGGAAAGACTAGCCAATTGTTAAAAAATTTAACTTTGTTTTATAATTGCTTCGGATGCAAATCTCCAGTACTGAACTGATTATTTACTAATTTTAAACTGTTACTGTGAGAGTTGCATTTTAGAGTAGGCATGTAAAAACCCGTTTAGTTTTTTTTCCTGCTAGTATGTCAACAGCTGAAGAAAAAACTTCCATTGATTTTTACTTGTGGTGTAAAGTCAACCTTACAGTATTGGAGAGAAGTGCAAGATACCTCTTCTTATGAACGACTGGACCTGTTGTATCTCATACAGTCCACAGAAGTGGAGCTCTGTTTATAAGCAGGCAATTATTTCAGTCCTGTCTGCTGGCTGGCAGTAGGATTTTAGTAATGGTGTGCCGGAGAACTTGTGTTACTTCGCTTGGTCAGCAATTATAGTCTTATTTTTCCAGAACTCTTCTGTGGCAGAACACTTCACTGTATTGATTTTTCTGTTCCTGTGAAGAAATATAGTTACCAATTATTCAAATGGTACTGCAGCAATAGATGCACATACTAGTGGTCTTAAATGATTACTCTATATCACATGATTGTAATTATTCTTATCTTAGTACCTCACCTGTGTTTTTAGCAACTGAAACTTGTGAAGCAGTGGTCATGTTTCTGCCTTGAATGCAAAGAAGTCTGTCCTGGAAAGTTATAGTATCGCCTAGAATTCTGAAAAGTGTATTTCCTGTGTCTTTCTTCCACGCTGTATGACAACTAGGCAGTTCAGTGCTGGAAGAGCCACTGTTAACTTTAGTTATGGTGATTTTTTTCTTTCACCTTTTTTTTTTTTAAAATGCTTGCGTATTCTTAAAATATATGTGAGCAAATTATATCATTAAACGTACCTTATAAGTGTAAACTTGAAGAATTCCTCTAATTTTAACACTGATTCAACATGCAAAGAAGGTAGAAAGCTACTTTTGTTCTTTTCAGAATTTGTCTTTCAAAGAGCTTTCCCTTTCACTCTAGCAATTATGTAAATGAGAAGGTTCAAGAAGGAAAAGCTGGTCAATGAAGGGTTATGTGGTCACTTTGCAGTATCCTTTTAGTTCTTCTTAGATGTAATGAAAGACTGACTTGAAATAGTTGCAGGTTCCTAAAGGCTTACCTTGATCTATCGACTGTGTTACTCAAACAAATTATAGATATCTAAGACTTGTCACTTCAAAACTTTCACTTTCAGAGATTCCCGAGTTGCATCTTTGCTTGCTTCTCCATATTGACTTTGTTAGGTGGCTGACTTAGTGCATCTTAATTCAGTTTTCCCCCCAATGTACGCAGAAGTAGTTTTCCAGATTGGCATTTTATTAGTAATTGATGAACATTATTGACTTACAAGTTTCAAATCAGAGCTTCATAGTTAAAACTTCAAATTATCTGTTAAGATGTTTTAGTTGTAGTAAGAATTTACTGCAGAATTCTTGAATGAACCTGTGGCAAAAAATATAAGTAGTAAATATTATGGGTATGTTAAAGACCAAACTGTAGTACTTCAGTGGTCTGCTGTCTTGATCAAGTGTTGCTCAGGAAGAAAAATGACAGCTGCTTGAGCAATTTTTTATTTTTTCTCTTGAGATAAATGCAATGCTGGCTGTACAGTTTTGCCTTAAGGCAAAAATCATCTCCAACTGAGCTGGGAACTGACTACTGTTATGTATTTCTCCAGAGGGTATGTGACCCAGAAATGTATACAAAGTTGATGGCATTTTCTGAAAATGCTAAGTAGTGGTAGCTTTTCTTTAAAACTTTGCGTGGATTATTGTTGATTAGGTGAACTTGACAAAGGGCTGATATAATTTTGCTTGTCTTTCTGTTTCTTGGCTTAGTTTTAGTTAAAGAATTAAGTGTGCACCTTTGTATGTTTTGTCTTTACAAGAAGGGGGCGGGGGGGCAAGGACCCTTATCTAAGAAGCCAAAGTAACAAAATAACAGCATTAACTATTTTCAGTCTAGAGTATATAAAGCTAGGAACATAAAGTTATATTTAGATATTTTAAGTGTCCAAAAGGAGAGGTGTTGAACATATGTACCAGATTCTCTGCTAGTTGGGTTACAAGAAGTTATGACAAATGGGTGTAAAGCAAGGTGCTGTTTGATAGTGTACAATCTGTTTAAATCACTCAAAATAATCATTTGATGAAGAAACTAGTTTTGCATCGCAAAACAATTTTTCTCCTGAAAAAATATTGTCAACATGTTCTTTATGCCTCCTCATGGTTTGAATAGACCCTGGCTTTTTTTGCAAGCTGTAAGTGGCTTACTAAGTATTTATTGGCAATTGATTGCTAATACATGCTGCTATTGAAGCATCCTTGTGTATAAATTCTTAACAGTTTAAATACAGCAAATCAATAAATGTGCTTCATGTTTATAGACCTGTGGTTTATATCTGAAGGTTAACACCCTTCTGAGAGACATTAATGCATAAATAAAAAAGGAGACTTTACTGTGGCTTTATATGTGACAAGAACATGATCTTCCAACTTAGACTATAAAGAAAATTCTTAGTGTTACTTGACTTTTTTTTTTTTTTCTTAGCATCTTGTGGTTCTTAAACTGTTTTGCATTTCTTTTTTCCTGTCTGTAAACAATATGTGTTCTTTTAAGTTTGGAAATTAATACTTTTATGATGAAAGCATGTTTTACTATAGACATCCTTATAGCTGGTTACATTAGTGGTGCTATAGAGACAATCTGATTTGTTATATAAATTTTGATGTTGCAGAATAATTCAGGATTGCAGTCAGTAGCTTGCTTTCTCTTCTGGATAGCCTTAAACACATTCACTGCTCCATGTAGTCTGTCATTTAGAGGTATAGAGCCAAACATATTGAAAGTGTGTATCTCTAAAATAGGTCGTAGTATTACTATTCTGAAGCTACCTCAAAGAATTTTGCAGAACCTAAGATTATATTTATGATATTGTCACTTGCTTTTCCAATAGCAAAGATGACACTGTAGTTATTAACAAGCCTGATAATTGAGTTCACTGGAGAAATATAAGTGAGATAAGGAAGCTTACTGTTCATGGAATTTACAGTAAGAATGTTAGTTACATAAGACTTGGAATTTCATTTAGTAGGCTACTGGTACGAAGATTTTAATTTATTTGACTTAAGTAATTGATGTGTATTTGGAACTTGTATTAAGCAGGAAGGGAGACGCCTTACTCTGAAAGTAATTTTGAGGAACAGATTTAAGATACATAGAAGATACAGCGTTAACACTGAATAAGGAATAAATAAAACTATTCATGTGCCTTTGACAAATTGTACCCTTTCTTCTGCATCTGTTGAGTGTTATCCAATGGTAAATCCTGAAGAAATTTGCTGTATGAAACCAAAAGCAAAAATTTGGGGTTGTCTTTTCCTTTCCACCCTCCCTTCCTCCTTCATATTTATTTATAAAATATTTATATGCTTGCATCACTGACCACCTGCAGCATGAGCTGTGGTTCTACATTACCACTTACAGCGAGAAAAGATTACAGTGAGATGATTGCCTAATTGGCAGTATCCAACCGAGATAGAGTAAGGACAGAACATAATGTACAGTTGAATGCTTAACAACAATTAGTCCCAGGAGTGTAGCAAATACTAGTTTTAAGTGGAATTTGTAGTTTGTTTTGAAATAATGGATAGATAATCTTGGTGAAAAGGAATAGAGAAGTTGTTTTAAATGAAGACAACAGAACTTTGAATCACTGTTTTTGCAGATTACAGGATGATATATAGTTGAAAATACAATATCAACTCCTATTCTTAGTTTTAATTTCAGTGTGTTATATAGAGAATTACTGCTCTCAAACAAGGCTTAAAAAATGTGAATACTTTCATACTGTATTTGCTCATGTAATTTTACTACTCTACTATATGGGATGTTTTTAAAAATTTGTGTGAAGTATTTCTAATGGTATGCAAATACGTGCCTAGTAGCAGTTATTTTTTGAAGTACTTTTAGTGTAGAATCGATAGACCACCTTTTTACGCTCCAAATCGGAATTCAACAATTTTTTACTGTTCAGGAAACACTTAACTATAAAAGTCCTTTTCTAAAAGGAAAAGGGCTTTATTAGTACATGCCTGTTTTAGACTACTTGCAAAATATCAGATGGATGTTAATTGCACTTTACTCATTATAAATTGAAGTGTAGTATGTGATGCAGTTGGTGCTTCTTGGCTAGAAAATAATGTTTGCTAATAATCAAAGAACATGGAATGACAACTTTACATGGAAAGAAACATGTCTAGCAGTGTAGAGTTTTTCATGTGGCTATTCAGTATTATTACTCCTTGGAGATGAAAAATTTCTTGACGAGCTGGTATTTTCTGTGTGCTCACAATAATTCTTACTTAATCCTTTGCTTTGTGTTCCACTATAGTATGAAGCAGTTTTGTTTTCAGTGCCATTATTGATTTCTTTGCGGCATCCCAGTATTCACTGGAAATAGCTGGGGTTTTTAATGATTATAAATTAGATCAGAGCAGATTGTTTTTAATAAAGTTAAGAAATAAGGTATAGGTACAATTTTGCTCTTAAGATGTTGATTCTATGTACTGTCATGTTTTGAAGTAGTTTAATACTATTTTTTAAAAAGTCACAGCAGTAATATTGGAACTATTGACTGTCCTGTATGGGTGAATTGGCCAGTTAGGTTCCCATAAACATCACAACCTAACTGGGCTGTCTTTGCATTAAATTAGAACTCATATTTATTAATGAGTTCTGGGTTTAATTTCTTTGTACTGGGACTTTTTTTTTTTCAGAGATGATAGCAATGGATGTTCCCAGAGGTACTCAGCAAAATTAATGAATTCTTAATTTTGAAGATTAAGAAAGAATAGAATTTACTTGAAACTTTAAAAAATGAGTGAGTGTAATTCAGTTTGTCAAAATAGCCGTTTAATCTACAAGTAGTATGTTTTGACTGAACGTAAATAGATTCTGCCCCTCTTGCAGTCATTCCTTCCTCTCAGCTAAATTAATGTTTACAACTCTTTGACAAGGTAGTGCTACTGCCATAATGATAAATGATTTACTAATGAGACTTCAGACTTACATGGTTGAATGTGTTTGAATGCTTTCAATGTGCTGAACACTAAAGATCTCTTTTTCCTTTCTCACTAGCAAGACCTCATGACTTCTTTGATGCGCAAACACTGGATGCTATAAGACATCGAGCCATCTGCTTTAACCTCTCAGCACATATAGAAAGTTTAGGAAAAGGCCACAGTGTTGTATTTCATAGTACTGTAAGTACATATATTATGCATTCTGTTTGTTCACTTATGTATCTGAAAAATCTAATATTTCCTAAGATTTCTGTTTTCCTCTTACTGCTGTAGGCATTTAATCAGAAATAAGTAATAGTGGGTATTTTACATTGTTGATTTGTCCATTTCTATTAGTAAATTAACTTTTTAAAGTAGTGTTAGTAGTTGTTCCAGCTCACAAATTGAATAGCTTGCAACATTTCCTGTCTGATACACTTGGGGAAATATCTAACAGTAAGTATGTGTTGCAGAAAAAATTTGGTTATGTCTTCTAAATAGGAGTGCAATTCAAACGGCATTTCCATAGTTGTGAGTGACTGCTACTTTATCACAAGGAATATTTTGAGGGTAATTGAATACTTAAAGATGCTGGTCTGAAATTTGTGTTTATTTCTTTTTTTTGTTTTGTTAAAAAAAAATACAATCCTGAATAAATGTATTATTGTCTCCCTTTTTTCTTTTAATAAACTTACCACCAAAATGTCAGTGAATTGCTAGGAGGAGGCAAATACCAGGTGGGGAACTGGCCTTTAGTCCTGTCCATATCCTGTTTTGTTAATTTCACTTGTGTGTGGGTAGGATAGACATCAGTATTAATTTAGAAAAGTTCAAAATGGTGAAAAAAGTACTGAATTGAGGTGTAGGGATCAGAAGTTCAAAAAGCTATATAACCTTAGGTTTTCTTAACCAAACTGGGAGATACAGGCACATAAAAGGTAGAGACTCAGCTGAAGAAAAGAATTAGGAGATGGGACAAAATGAGGGGGAGTGCCTTGTAAATTGGCAGACTAGTGCAAGATGAACTGCAGCCCAAGGAAGGAATGCTGACTGCTCTGTCTTCAGCTATGGCTTAACCTTCACATGTGATTCAAACTATTGAACTCTCAGTCTCTTTCCGTAATGAAAGATGATTTTATATGCATGAAACTTATTTTGTCCTGTTCTACAAGACTGATGATTGTTATAAATATCTGTGGCCTCTATTAGAAATTTTTCCCAGGTGGTTACTCCTGAACTTTATGTGCACTGAGCACCAGCTGCAAGTGGAGATTTGCAGGTGGCGTAGCTGTTACTGTAGTTAAATCTCATTCTAGTTTTCCTGGCCAACATGGATTTTACAGCGCTGTGAGAAAAGCAGATTCTTTTCCAATTCACAACCTGCTTTAATCTGAAACATTATCCAGACAGACTACTCGGTTGTGGAAGCTCACCTTTGGCTACTGGAATAATCCATAAGGAGATGGAATTAGAGGGAGGAATGTGCTCTAAAATTGCTTTGAATTAACTTGGAGGAAGTGGTGAAAATCCTTTTAGCTTATCCGTGTATGTGTCACTCGAGATGGTAGGCGGTTGATTAGATCTGAAATTGCCTATACTTCAGTTGTGGGAGAGGTTGTACCAGTGGCAGAACTGTTCTAAGATTCCAGCCCTATGCTGCACTTTGCTACCCTATTCTAGTGGGCTGCTACAGTTGTGTGGGCTTGTGCTGGACATCAGCTATATTGATGAGACTTAACCTAAAATCTGCTTTAGAAAGAAAAGGTAGAACAGAAGCAGTCTTGTAGATGTACACTGTTATACTGAGCTAATGGTCACCTCAGATGCCAACACATTTTGCATAACTTAAAAGCATTAGGACATTGAATTTGAATGGTGACTGGCTAAATAGCATAATACGGTTTGTGCGGTCCACCTTCAGATGAAGAAAAAAATGTGTAATTAACAGGGGCATTAATTTGAAAGGTGAAAAATATGAAGATAAAATTGTCTTGCTGTCTGAAAACTGACATAAATTATGTAGGTTTATTTTTTTTATTCAGCATAAGAATAATGTCAGCACAATGCAGTATTTCACAGGATCGATATCCTAGTGAAAAATTACTAATGTGAAGAATTTCTAAGCAGTCACTGTAGATACCTTTCATCTTCTATGAAAAGGCACTCCTTTTATTTTTACATACATATATTTTTTTAAAAAAACCTTTCTTTATCTTTATGGATATGGAAAACAGTAGAATGCAGTTATCAATAAAGCCTTTTTGAAGAATGTTTTTGCCATCCAGAGTTCCCCTTTGACGTCATTACGAATTTTTTTTTTCTGCTTTGTTTTTTTTGTTGGGAGTCACATTCTTGGTACTATGATTCTCTGAATTATCAGAGGGAAAAAGTCAAGCATTTTCATTTAACCTAAAGAGCAGATATTACACTGATTTAAAAAAAAAATGCAGCTTATAGGTGTCCTCTTACTAAACTGTTTTTCACCGGTTTTAGCTTTTTTAGGTATTTCAGTTCAGCGACCACGTGTATTGATACTAGTTACGTGTGTATTGATACTAGTTACGTGTGTTTTGAAATCTTAAAGCTTTGAAACACAGTAAGTGAATAAAGTAAGATGCATACCAATTTATAGGGTGAAATTTTTTTATTTTTCCAGAAGAGGTCAGCAGAACTCCACTTCTGCTTTGAGACAACTTTTGATGCACATTTCCTTCACAGAGAGAAACTCAAATTAAATTTCCCTTTTGTTTCTGGGACAGTGCATGAAATTTAGAGAATATAGTAAGAGTTTTTTCAAATAAAGCTGTACTGAGCATACATCTACTGGCTGAATGATATTTTTAAATGAAAAACTTAAATGGACTTAATTTCTTCACAAAACAATTTTAAGTCTTCAGAGCATCATTATTGCAGACATGCTAGATTTCTTCCATTTCACTTGTAACTTTTGCAGACTTGACCGTAAAGCTCTGATTACTAGTGTTAAAATAGCAAATAATTTTCTTCAATTGCTCTTTTGCAAACTTTTTGCAATTTTGCATTTGTCTGCATCATAGCTGTGTTTGACTCTAGCCTGCCTAGGATATGGTAAAATTTTCATTGCACTAATTGTGACAAAAAGTGGATACTTCTTATAACTTCCATAAAAACTTCTTTGAATTTGACAATTTCAAAATATTTGTGGGGAAGAAGTAATGGCAGCTATAGATACCAGATTTCCATTGTCTTCTAACGGAAAGCTAACATACTACTTTAATATTAAACAAAAATAAGCTTGTTCCATATGCAGAAAGAGAATCTTTCATCTCAGTCAAAATGATGTGAATTGCTCAGATTTTGAGTATTGATTATTTAGCAGGGACAAGTTAAGCTAATGATATGGGGAAAAAGTCTGCAAAATTCACGTTGGATACGAGTATATTTTGCTGTGTGAAAGCATCCTAGCTATAACTTTCATAGCTTTCATGTATTATATATGATTAGCTCTTTTGATATGAAAATATTTTTTTAAATTTTCTGCTGCTGAAAGTTACTTTCTCCTCCTATTAAACTTCTCTGTGTATGTGAAAGCTGGTTCCAGCCCTTAGTTTAGCGCCGATCACTTGATGTTACTAGGGCTCTAGAATGAGAGAATAGTACTTGCAGTAGTATAATTCAGGCGGTACTTTAATGGCCCTAAATTTTGTAGTCTGAATTTGTAGTGTTTCAATTTTTGAGGTTTTTACAAATATCTCTAGCTTCGATGTGGTGATGGTGAGACAGCAGGGTCCTAAATTTTGTACTGCATATTCCTGAAAATGAGAAATTGTTAATGTCAGAGTTTGTATTTTTGTTTTCCTGTTGGAGAATGCAGGTGATGATATTGGGTGGTTCTCACAGAGATCTATGAGGTTCTGGAATCACCATGTATTATACTGTAAATCCTGGTCGAAGTAGTGCTATTGATCATCTGATAGAGGGACAGCATCCCCAGCTTTAACTAGTACTTAGATGTGATATGTATCTGTGGCTTGTGTGTTCTGTATGGGTTCCTAGTTCACATTCTTCAAATTTTAGATAGGATGAAGAGCAGCTTGTGGAGAATAACTTCTTCCTTCTAACTCGGGTGTAGCTAGTTTACTGTATCCAAATGCTGATACTGAAAAGTTTACAGGTGACATTTTAAAGTATGTGATATGCATGATGCTTGCGTTACATGAGAGAGCTTATGTGTCTCCCTAAAACTTGAAGGTTAATTTGAGAATGAAATGGATGTACAAGAAAATGTATGGTTTTGAATGGGAAAGCTGATGTGAACTGAGTTTTAGTTGCCCTGTAAAGTGAGCTTTGACTTATCTTTATTTGGTTCCAGGCTCAGGTGCTCCAGTCTACAGCAAAGAAACTGAGTTTGCAGAAGAAGCCACTGGGTTCTGGGCAAAGGCTAAAACTTAAAGTTGGAAGGAATTGTAGGAGTGCTTTCTAAATCTTTATTTAAAAAGAAGTCAGGGTTTTCATCCCTCCTCCAAATTTACCAAAAGAATGTATCCTGTTGTGGGTATGGCTTGAGACTTATGAGGAAAAGCCTTCACAATGTTTTGCTTGCCTAAGTTAAAGAACCTTATCATATTCTCTGATACAACAGTCAATTAAACTTTGTCTCATCAGCAAAGATTAGTAGAAAAAGGGTTTTTACTGTCATTTACCTACAGTATCCCACTATGACATCCTATTGTAGTTCTTGCAGGGAGCATTCCTTCAATTTATCTTGAATTGTCTGATATCAAAAGCGGATTTTCTTACTCTGCCTTCCAATCCCATTTTCAGATGAATTGTGAATATATATTAAATGAGAGATCCTAAAACTGGGGCTAACTAATGAGAAGCTTCTCCTTTTGGAAGAACTGTGCATTGGATGGCCTTTTCCATATCTCATGACAACTTGGCTTAAAACTTTTTAGTGTGAGACTTCAATATTTTTTTAGAAACTCAGTATCTCAAACACTATGGTGGGTTGATCTTGGCTGGATGCCAGGTGCCCACCAAAGCTGCTCTATCACTCCCCTTCTCAGCTGGACAGGGGAGAGAAAATATAACAAAAGGCTCATGGGTCAAGATAAGGATGGACTCGACTTGGGGAAATGAGTTCAATTTATTTCCAATCAAATCAGGGCAGGGTAATGAGAAATCAAACCAAATCTTAAAACACCTTCCCCCTACCCCTCTCTTCTTCCTGGGCTCAACTTCACTCTCCATTTGTCTACCTCCTCCCCTCTGAGCAGCGCAGGGGGATGGGGAAGGGGGGTTGTATCATCGCACATTCTCTGCCACTCCTTCCTCCTCACACTCTTCTCTTGCTTCAGCGTGGGGTCCCTCCCACGGGAGATAGTTCTCCACGAACTTCTCCAATGTGAGTCCTTCCCACAGGCTGCAGTTCTTCACGAACTGCTCCAGCATCGGTCTCCTGCAGGGTCACAAGCCCTGCCAGCAAACCTGCTCCAGCGTGGGCTCCTCTCTCCACGGGACTACAGGTCCTGCCAGAGCCTGCTCCAGCATGGGCTTCCCACAGGATCACAGCCTCCTTTGGGCACATCCACCTGCTCCGGTGTGGGGTCCTCCACGGGCTGCAGGTGGATATCTGCTCCACTGTGGACCTCCATGGGCTGCAGGGGGACAGCCTGCCTCACCATCATCTTCACCAGGGGCTGCAGGGGAATCTCTGCTCCAGCACCTGAAGCACCTCCTCCCGCTCCTTCACTGACCTTGGTGTCTGCAGAGTTGTTTCCTCTCGCGTATTCTCGCTCCTCTCTTCCAGCTGCTGTTGCACAGCAATTTTCCCCCTACTTAAATACGTTATCCCAGACACTACCACTGTTGCTGATGGGCTTGGCCTTCGCCAGCAGCAGGTCCACCTTGGAGGCAGCTGGCATTGGCTCTATTGGACATAGGGGAAGCTTCTAGCAGCTTCTCACAGAAGCCACCACTGTAGCCCTCCTGCTGCCAAAACCTTGCCATGCAAACCCAATATTCCAATTCTCATCTACAAGCATATTGATACCTTCAGATATCTCAAATATTTCTGTATTAGTAATCTGCCTGTTAAATCACGGACACTTCTCTCTGCATCACTTTTGTTTAGAAGCATAGTTGTAAAAATAAAACTGTAAACAAATTTGTGAATTACTTGAAATGTCATGATTAAGTTTAATTTACCATGGTATTCAGTTGTGGGAAGTTGCTTTGGTTGATGCAGATTATGGACTTCAGTATTTAAGTTCTGTGTACTACATTTTGCTTTATCCTTTTTCATAAAGATCACTTGCCACCCTTCTGTATTTCTGGGCTTTAAAGGTTCTCTAGTAAACTTTTTGGAATTTACAGTATCTGCAGTGTCTATGTATAGAATCAGAGATTTAATAAGCATTTTATGCTTGGAGGTGCAAAAGGTGGGAGAATTGGAGTTTGAAGCAAATAGGAAAATCTGCATGAAGTATTGTGATGTGTAGTAAAGGAGAAGCTGAGGGTAAACTGGTAGAAGAGGAAGCAAATGGCTTTTCCCTGTTTTTCTGGATACTGTAAATTTTTGGGATACCTTTTGAATGCCACCATCGAAGAATATATTTGCACCTGAATGAACAGGTTTCTTTTTTATACTTTCTGTGTGTGTATTTCTAACTTTATCTTGGCTAAAGGAGGGAGACTAGCTTCATGGTCCTGCACCTAAAAACTTTCTTCTCTGTGAGAGTATCTTATGTGCTGGTCTACTCTGAGCTAGTACGAGAAACTATGAGGAGAGTTCTTACTTCTTGTCTAGGACCTTATCAGTGGAGTTCATGTGTTCTGCTTAAACTCTATCAATTGTCGACAGGTCTTTGACACATCATTTGATGTATCATTCATATAACAATAGTAGCAAGTGTACTCTCGACAGTGTTAAGGATCCCCGTTATGTATGCGTTAAACAATTTCTGTAAGCCTGTGAGTTCTTCCAAGTAGCCTTTGCCATTGCCTCATTCAGTGCTTGGTTTAGGTATTGAAAAGGAATGAGTAAATGTTAACTGGGGAAGTTATACGTATGATGTGTGCAGATGTCAAAGCATTTGTGAGAGATTTTGTTCTTATGCCATGATATAATTAAACTCTAACCTGCATCAGTTTCTCGCATCTTCTATAGACATCTTGCAGGACGTGAGCATATTTGTACAGGAATGTATTTTCTTCAAAGCATTTGGAGTAGCTGCTTAAAAATTTAAACTATTTTAAAAGAAAGAAGACTACTTACAGAATGCATTTTATTAGGGTTGGTTTTTTTGGTTGTTTTTTTTTTTTTTTCAGGGACCACACAGCAGACAAATGTTAGAGGAAAATATTAAACCTTGCCAAGATGTCTTGACTAGTGATATGTACATTCTACCTGTATATAGAATTAAGACAACTCTCAAAGAGTAAAACAGTTTACCTTTTATGAATGTCCAGTTGAACATGAAGAACAACAGTTTTTGAGCAAAAAATCTGCAGATTTGGTTTTAATTATGATTTATGTAATTATTATCAGGTAATAGCTAAAAGAAAAGAAGATTCTGGAAAAATAAAACTCTTGCTTCATTGGACACCAGAGGACATGTGAGTATATTGCTAGTGATATAAGATTTAAATGGGGAAGGATTTACGGTGGGGTGAATGAACTGTCTGTCACTGAATTATGTTATGCCTTTGAATATTTAAAGTTCGTGTTTTAAAAAATGCTTTTTAAAAAGTAATTCAGAAGTTTAAAAAATAATAAGCAATGCTTTAATTGATTTTTACTTTAGTTTTCAAGTCTTTAGATTCTGATACCAGTTTAGGTAAATTTGAAGTTGTATTTTTGATGCATTTTGTCACTATGGGTATTAATAACGAGGTCCTCTAATTATTGAATGGGGAATTCAGGTTGGTTTTGCCAGCCATACACATAAGGAAATGTATCACTGAGACAATTTCGTTTTACCCACTGATTCATCATGATCCTAAAATACTTTTAGGTATACGTGGTGCTTGAGGACATGGTTTAGTGGTGGACTTGGCAGTGATAGGTTAATGGTTGGACTCGATGATCTTAAGGGTCTTTTCCAACCTTAACGATTCTATGATTCTATCATCAGTGTAATGGTAGAACTACAAGAATCTTTGTCTAGGTGCCACAATTTAACAATATAATAACCGTAGTTGGCCCTTTAAGGTATCCATCTCATATTGCTGCTTCTTTGGGTTCTCCCACTGAAGCTTGGAATAATCTTCCGACATGTTTGGCAGCTTTTTTTTCTCTTGGTTTTTTTGAAAGTTCTGCCTTGTTCCGAATGAGTAGCCTTGTGTGTAATGCAGGATGAAGGTACTGACCTCAGATAGGCTTGGCACATATGAAGTAGTAAGTGTACTTTAGAGTAATTTATCTACTTCTCTGGAATAGCTGAGATATCATCTCTTCTGACACAAAAAATAATTTATATGTAAATATTTTGATCTTAATTATATAGAAAAGTAGAATAAATGTTTGGTTTCCACTATGCTGTAGGAAAGCAGTAGGCAGAGTAGTTTTAGGAGAGGCAGTAGCTGTATGCTCCATGTTTTCCACAAGTTTTAAGGCAACTAGCTACTTTTTCCTTTTTGAAGGTAAGAATAATTACAATAGAATTTATTTCTTGGATCCATACTCCTGCATACTGATTCCTAGATCCATAGTCCTGGATACACATGAAGTTACTGGGACGTTTAATTCACATTAAGATGGAAGTTACTGAGACATTTAGTTCACACTAAGATGAATAGCTGCATAATTAGGTAAGATATGCAGGTTTAGAGGCCTTTTCTTATAAGGAAGTCCAGTTTTACCAGGAAAATATCCCTAGGTTGGTAGAACTCATTAGGTAAGGATATCTAAGTTTCAGATAAAATAGTCATAGTTCATGCAATTAACTTTTAGAACAAGGGGGTCGTTTAGATTCAGTGGTGCTTTTAAGTCATAGAGTGGGATGGTGATGCAAAGCCTTAGCGTAACAGAAATTTACCTTTGCTTTGGTGAGGTGGTTTAAATTACTCAGTTGTGTAGTGTCCTAAATTAGTCATGTGCAGTAGTGTGAACTTGGCAGTGTGAATCTATTATAACTTTTATTTGCAGAGGACTGGGGTTGCTGATAAGTTACCTGCAGCAATGTTTGGTGTTTTGGTGCAATTTTAAGCTGTCTGTAGCTTTTGCTGCTCATTGCAGCACTTGTTGACTGCAAGTTTCAATTCAGCTCGGGAGAGAGTAACTAAAATATTCTAGTAAAAAGTGTAGTTTTTTGCTTCCTCTTAGGACAGCTGGTAGTACTATATGTAACAGCATTCTGAGATTATTCTTATTAAAATATTACAGCTAAAGACAGTTAATTGTATTTTAAGATGAAAAGCATTTAAAAAGCATGTAACACCCTGGCAACACGAAAAGTAAATAAATTAAAAAAAAAAAAAATCAGTACTTTTTTCCTAATACAAAGTCAAATGAGTTCTTTTGCTCATGCACATGAATACAATATTAGAATCTCTGCATTGGAGAAGACAAGTTATTCAGTAATGTTAAGGCATCCCTGATAGAATGTAGATTTGGTTCGTCAGGTCAAAGGAATGTGTTTTATATTGATATTTCTTGCTTCTTGGTTGGGTTAGGTAGAGGGTGTATTTCCTGCCCTGAATGATGTAGTTTTGAATTATTGAGCATTCAGTAGATATAATTTCATCTTTATTATTACAGTTAAGAAGAGCAAATGCAAGGTATCATGGCTCATGTCATCTGTCTTGCACAGTGAATGTACTCACACTTTAGTAAATTTGAATGCAGTCATGATGATTACTTTCCATTGTGCTGAGCTGTTCATCAGCCTTTCAGATGGAGCTAGTAATAATGATTTAACTTTTTCTACTCTGAGTCATCTTGAGAAACTGTTAAACAGCTTCACGTTCTCTGTACATTAAGTATTTTTTCAGGAAAAGTAAATACTAGTCTTTAACCCATTTCCTATACAAGAGGGAAATAACCTTTAGAAATTTTTTTAAGAGCAGGAATTCATTCTTTGTGCCAGTACTACTTAGCTTACTGAGTGGTTGTCTTTATGTATATATCAAATAGTCTTTGCAAGTGGAAAGTTTTCTTATTTGCTGTTTGTATTGTTTTCCATCTTCGGTATATAGCTTCTACTAAAAATGTCTTCAGAATGTTGCTTGTCAAAAAAACCTGATTTTGGCTATATTTAAAAAGAAGTCTTAAGATGTTTTTTCACCTTTCATGATCTGTGTTAAACCTTAGTAGATACATGGAGTGCCTCCTAGGTGGTTCCTCCCCGCCCTCCTTTTTTTTCTTTTTTTTCTTCCACCTTCATCTGAGAAGGGAAGAGTATCATTGGAGAAACTCTTTTTCCTACTGGCGTAGAAGTTCTCTGTTTCATTTCATTTTTTGGATGGCTTACCCAAAAAATTGAATTTGAGTTGCAGCTAACTTTCATTGCTGAAAAACAGAGATTCAGTTTAATCATTTGCAAAAGTCTGTAAAATTGCATATAGCGTTGGTCAGAGAAAGAACTGTTTAATTTAGATAGTCTTAAATGTTGGGTTTCTCAATTTGAAACTTGTTTCAAAATGTTAGAATTCTTAATTACAAACTTAAACTTTTTTCCCCAATCTGAAATTAATTTTTGGCTCCTAGGTCATGTTAAAAAAAAAAAAAATCAATCACTTTATATGGGCTGAAAATAATCTCAGGGGGTTATTGGGTTTTGATTTTTTTTTTCTTTTTGAGAGGTTGGTTTGTTTGGGTTTTGTTGTTTTTTTGTTTTTTTTTTCCTCTCCTTTTTCCCAGTAGTGGAAGCAAAGTGGATCGCTTGTTTGTTCTGCACAGCCTTGGTCAATGCTAACTTTTGGAAGGAGGCAGGAAAGCGAGTTTTCAGTTAAGACACTGATGACCTCTGCAAGCTTAGTGTGTCTCTTAATAATGTGTTACATGAAAACCTCAGCAGGGCCTTAAAAACTCAATGTGCTTTCAGTAAAAGAAGCAATAATGCAATAAGCCACTCCAAAGTAGGTGTGTTTGGTTTCAAAGAATTTAAGTACAAGACGTAGATCAATTGTGTATGTTATCTCCAGCCATCTTCCCCAAGTTTCACTGCAAGTGGCACTGAAGCAACAGTTCCCTTTAATGTATAAAGACCAAGTTTTATTCCATCTCACAATGAGAACCGTTACGTAGCCAAAATATTTTGTGGTGACTGCCTGGATTTCCTCAGAAGATAATCAGTTAACTTCATCAAGGTTGGAGCATTTTGACATTGAAAGCTTTGAACTTGGAGCAGGCAAATTACTATAACTGGGAGCTCAGTGCTTGCAGTATATTCTGTCCATTACTTTTTTGATAGCATCAAAGAACTTTATAACCAGTAAAATAAAGTATTTTTAAAGATCTGGTTTTTTTCCTGCTACTCATTTTCACATTAAATTGTTAAAATGGAGAACGTAGTTCCATTGTCATTGTATGTTTGGTTTAGTATTCCTAATAATCTAAATTCTGTTTAGTATCTTTTTCACACTGAGAACTTGAAAAACCTTGAAGTATAATGTGTAAAGATTGGCTGTCTTTTCCTCACTCCAGTGAAGATGCTTTTTAACCAGTGAAATGTGAAGATTACTTTAAAAAACTTCATATGTACTAGTTTACCGCATAATTTTATGGTAAGAAAAACAGTTGATCTTTTTTGAATATTTTTATTCTATTTATTTATTCATAGTCTGCCTGATGTGTGGGTAAATGAAAGTGAGCGACATCAGTTAAAAACTAAAGTAGTTCATTTATCAAAACTACCAAAAGATACTGCCTTGCTTCTGGACCCAAACATATACAGGTAACGTCCTAATTTTGAAACTTTCTTTACTTAAATATAGTCTTAAGCCTCACTTAACTTTTAGACGTTGGAAAATCAGGATTGCTATTGCATTATACACCAGACCAGGGAGCCTTGATCCTGTCAGCGTCCAGGAGTTAAGTTCTGAGGTCTTAAGTTGTTTCAGAATTACTTAACTTCTTGAACTGAACTCTAGTTACTGAGAAACGGGGAATATGTGTATTTACCAAGTGTATTTTACTTTTTTGTGCTTGGTGTACAGAAATTCTAGTAAAGGAGGTACATACAGTGGAATCCTGAAAGATCACTTCTGTTAAGATCACATACTGGTTTGTATACCAATTTTTTTAAAGTCCAAATTTATCTTTACATATTTTATATTCAACTGTAATACATGCAGTATTACCTTGAAATCTGTACTTGTATGCAAGTACTGTTATTTTTTAGTACAAGATTCTTTAGAGGGGGACAGAAGGGGACAGTACATGTTACTTGTCTTTAAGCTGCATTCACATTTGTGTTTTTAGGACTTCAGATTGGCTTCTAATCCATCTTGTTTCTAATAATTTTCTGATTTCCCCCCTCCCATTAGTGTGTTCACGTAATTGTCAGTACCCACAGTTCTGTGTGTACAATTTTTAAAGGTAATCTGAAATGCTTAAGTCACTCTTAAGTTTTTGAATGTCCAAAGATACATATTTATGGGCTTATATTAAAAATTCATGAAAATGAGTCAGGAAAGAAAAAAAAAAAGTTTTTTTTCTGCAATAACCAAAGTTCAGTGTTGCAATGTTTCTTCCTTAACTTCCAGTGACCTAGTGTCTAAAGAAGTAACCAGAACACTAATCTGAGGTCTTGATATGCGATAAGCCTTTCAGTTCACCTTTAATATTCAGTGTATTTCACTAATCAAATTAATGAAAAATTGGTTTACAATATGAAAATAAATCATCATACTATATCTGCTATCTTTGTAAATGTAAGTATTTAAAATACTTACTTTATATGAATTACTGACGTTAACAGTAAATCATGAAAATGTTATGAGGAGATTGGATTGTGTGTTTTAAAACTGCTTAACACAGTGACTGTTTTATAATCTAATTTAGGTGTTAATCATCTTTATATTGATTACCTTTGTGGAACTTGATAGATTAGTTTGATTTGAAAAGGAAAAAATAACCTTTTAATATAAAAATGTAATGATCTTTGGGATTAAGTCTTTGGAGAAAAATGAACAACCCTTTCTACCTCTCCCAAATAAACTTAATGTCCCCTCACATAATGCTGTACTAGATTTTTAGTAGTATAGATCAGTGTGTGATTAAAAAGAGCTTTATGACCAACTGTGGGAGATCAAAGAAATAAAATTGAAGACCAAAACTTTGCAAGGGAAAAAAGTGGTTAAGGGAATTCAGTGACAGCTATTAATGTCATGCTGAAATGATGACTCCAATAGAAAGTTTGAAATAATTATCTGAAATGTACGCTAATATGGGATCATCTAAAATGGCTTTCAGTTTTAATCAAATTAGGTGAAAGTAGATTTTCTATAGTCATCATTTCATAGTATAGCTGACTCGAATTTACATCTCAAGGTCTTTATGTAAAACTCTACTGTCATCTTTTACAGAACAATGCCCCAGAAGAGGTTGAAGAGGTAAAAACCAAGGAAGTGGGGACACCTGCAGTCTTAGTCACTGACAATGGATTTAGAAACAAAGTTGCACATTAGTCAAATCCCATCCTTTTTTTTTTTTTTCTTAGATAAATATTTATGCTTAGTGTAAACATTCTGTGAATGAAGTTGATGCTTCCGTGGAATATATTAATATATTACTGTATATCCACATTTTCATGGAATGGTACAGTGGGAGACTGAGCAAACACTCTTCTGGCAACTTAGTGGAACAACTAAAAGGCTTTGCATGCTTGCTTCTTTAAGCTGCTTTTTTCTTTAGTGAATACAGTAGTTTATATTTGATGAAAAGAAAAAGTAACCATCACCATTTACTCACAATTCCCAGGAGAACTGTTAACAAGCTATTAAGCTTCTTGTCAATGTTAACTAAATATAACACATGCCAGACAATAAAACAGCTACCAAGGGATTATCCTGTTGCCCTTTGAGTATGGTGGATAGTAATAATTCGTCATTTGTAATCTTGTGTCCTTTTGCAGATCCCTAAAATATGTTGGATTATAATGTTTAAACAAATGTTGATGGAATGCTTGTCTTTTCCAATCAACTATGAATACATATAGTACGGTTTAAAGATGTTAAGAGTGTTGCAGTATGTCTGACCCCCTTTTCAGGAGTAGTGTAGTATGTTAATGAGATCTGCTTTTATGTGATCCGTATCAATGGATGGTTTTTGAAAAACCTCTACTTAAGCAGTTAGTGTTATTGGTGTTTTATTTTACTTTTTTGACCCTTTAGGATCCCCATTCACTTGTAAAGTATACTTTTTTATTTGGCCTAATGTTTTCTAGATGTAAAGAAAATGTATTTTTAAAAAAAAAAAATCTAGAAAATCAATCCTTTATGCACCAAAGTTGGCTTTGAAAAGGAAAGTAAAATCATTTTCTTGCTTAATAAGCAAGAAGCCATGGATTTTTTTAACTGACAAATAGAGATGTGTCTAACCTGTTAGTCTTTGTATGGAGACAAAAATGTTGCATATAGATAATAGGACATTGCTTGTAAATATTTCAGCAGATTTGTAATATATTTTTATATTATGAAATGTACTGTAGATGTTTTTCTAGAGGCATGAAAGTTAAAATGTATATATTACGGTAGAAATAATATTGAAGGATATTGTAATTCACTAGTGCTGCCAGAAGAATTGTTTAAAAAAAGCACCTTCCTTAACAATAAAAAACCTTCTTTTACATACCTAAGGGACTATATACTACTGTTAATATCTGTTGTAAGAACAAAAATACATTGAACATCCTTCCCAGAAATCTTAGGGGGATGAATAGTACCCATAATTAATTCATGGCGCTTCTTTCTAATAGTGAACATGAAATTAGTTTTTTCCTTACTGTTGGAAGGAACTAATATGTAAAATTTGTATGGATATATGCAGTCAAACTGCAAAGTTAGTCCTCCTTATTGGGGAGGAATTTACTACAGTGAAACTAATAACCAGCAGTTTTTACACTAAATTTTTATTAAATAGAATAAAACTTAAAGTAACCCTTTGGTTGCAGAAGTGAGCATATCCTACTATAATACAAATGCATTCTGCATTGGTACTGACACGAGTGTCTTGCTTAGCTCCAATGGGTTAAAAATGTTACTTATATACACAAAAAAAAAAATCTTATCAAACAAAATGAAGTGCAGATTAAAAGCACCACTAATATAAGATGTTCTGGAATGGTTGTTTAATAAGGGTATTATGCATAAAATCTGTAGTGATGTGACTTTATTTTTGAAAAAAATGCAGTGTTTTGGGTTTGTTTTTTTTTTTTTTTGCTTGAGCACTTCACCTACTGCTTTTTCTGTACCTATAAAGTAATCCGTAATCTTTGTTTCCTTTTTTGAATTTGTTATAAAATTGCCAAATAGAAGTGTTTCAGATATAGTTTGTATTTGTATTTTTTTAATTTTATTGCTTCATGAGTTTCTTGTAAGTCATTTATAATTGACAGATGATTGTAGACCTTGCCTGAGTATTTTTTCTAATAAAACAAAGCAAACAAACCTCATTAGCTTCAAAACTGTGAGATTTCAATGAAGTTTTCAAAGATAAATATAAAAATGTCACTATCTCTTTATTTCCTCTGTAAATAGTAACATTGCATACCTTTACACAATTGGGAATTCATGGATTCAAGTCACGTATTGTTCATGTAAACTGTGACTTTCTTTTCTTGGGTTTGAGAAAAGTATTATCTGGTGTTCTCGTGGTACAGCTTCTGCCTTGGAAGGAAAAATCAGTTGAAGTTCAAAACATCTAGGAAGAAATGGATACATTAGAATTAAACTTTCCATAGTAGTCAAAAGGTAAGTGGTTTTTTGGCACTGTTTTACCTTGAAGTTATCAAAGTGAATTGCTAGAAGTATTTACGCTTGAAAGTTGTTTATATTCTACAAATTATGTAATTACGTGGTGGTGTTTTATGTTTCAAGTGACAGTCATGTTTCTCTAAAGCTTTTGTGTGTGTCCCCAGATGAATTTTAGTTTTGTTAGAGTGCCAGATACATGGAACTGGCATTTCGTGCTGGGAGGCATTGATCACCTTGTTCTGAAAAAAGATCTTATTGCTCTTACTGTTGTTCTTGAAAAGTGTTAATGAAATAATTGGCTCGGAGTAGTTCCATGTGCTTTCTTTCAGGATGTAACATATAGAGGTTTCCTTCTGTCTTTCTCAAGAATATTTTTTTGAAATAGATTTTCCAAATACATACAGAACACACATTCCCTCCCAGCTGGAGTGTTTATTTTCTTTTATAGAGAAATGTCACCAAGACAAACCTGTAGTTATTTTACCCTTCATTACAGTCTGTTTCCAGACTGCTTTAAATGAGTAGCTATATAAATATCCTAAATTTATACTTTTTTGCTTAGGGGTTCTGTATTATCTTTTACACGTTACAGAAGGCGAGCAAAAGAAAATGACTAATTTTACAGTTAACTTTAAATCATGGCAAAATACACTGGAGTGTGTAAGCCATGGGGAGACGCTGAGGGAGCTGGATAAGTTCAGCCTGAAAAAGAGAAGGCTTTGGGGGAACCTAACAGCAGCCTTCCAGTACCTAAGAAGTTACCAAGAAGGTGGAGCCAAGCTCACTTAACTGCACAGCAGGAGGATTAGAGGTCGTAAATTGAAATGGGAGATTTTTTTTTTTTTTTCCCCTATGAGGGTAGTCAAGTGTTAGAACAGATTACTCCCAGAGATCCCAGAACTCTGTCCTTGACTGTTTTCAAGATCCAGACAGAGCTCTGAGCAACCTGGTCTGGATTCAGTGTTGTTAGTGTTGCACTGAGCAGGAGATTGGACCGGATGCTCTCTCGGAGGTCCCTCCCAATGTGAATTATTCTGTTTCGGTGATTCAGAACTAAGTAGGCTTTCTTTTCCAGCCCACATGCTCAGGAAGACATCAGCTGTGTTTAGATCACATTAGCAAGCCGTTCATGTGTTCATAGGTCATGGTTAGAGCTGGAGCTGTTTGAACTGAAAACCGATCAGCTGTGGCAGCAACTTGGATCTGGGGCTTTAGTCTACGTCGTTTTGGCCTACTGTATGCTTGAACTACACTGGCACTGTTGTCTTAAGGTAGATGCTGATGCTTGAGGATGTGGGTCAGAAAAGGGCATGGGATGGAATGTTTATTCCCCCACTGCCGGGCGACACCAGCAAGGGTGTCTGGAAATCTCAAATATGTTTGTGGGTGTCTTGGGTTATCTTACTTCTGGGACACCTTTAAAGAGGAAGCGCTGAATCAAGCTCTTGGAAAGTTATGCTTCTCAGGAGTTGCAGTGCACCCAAATATCTGTGCCCAAAATCACCAGTCCTTTTGGAATGTGTTGGCTTGAATTTTACAGTTTCCTAAAGCTGAATAAAAGGATTTTTTTTAGTGAGGAGTGCTGTTTTGGGAATGAAGAACACCTTTGCCTTTAGCTTAAGTGGATGAAAAGTCTGCTCTGGGAAGACTTCCTAGCATTTGGGCATAGCGTACAGCTGATTGTTTGATACTAGATATCATTCTATCTGTGCTAAAGCACTTGAATAGACTGAGCAGAAACGCATCAGTTCTTTTCTAATACTTCTATTGCATATAAGTTTCTCTGAAGGTCCTGTGATTTTTCAGATTTTGGCCAAATTACGTAATATGCAACACTATATTTTTTTTTTTCTTGACTTCTGTGTTCTATTAATTACATCAGTAGTTTCTGATTTAAATTATATATTAGATCTGGACTAGCTTCATTTGGGAACAAATAGGTTAATTATGTTTAAATCTGCATTGTTTTTAATAATAGGAATTTAAGTGGTTGATTTGTGTTCCTTTCAGCTTTTCAGCGCAGCATGTGAATTGAGCATCATAGAAAACCAGTCTTATTTAATACTTCAGTCTGAAATTGATGCTATATCCTCACCTAATGCTTTCTTGCCTTGACATTTTAAACTTGCATATGAACCTATCATAAGTATTTCTCTTGTCACATTAATGTGTGACAAGTTCAACAGGAAAAAAAATCGTCTCATCAGGAAAGCTGGCTTTTAAAAAAGCAGCTGAATCTATGGTTTCTTTCAGTCACTTTCTGTAACTTGTTAAGTAGACATTCTGTAAATGGCTCCTGTATGCATATGGCTCTGAAAGTAAAATAAACAGTTTGATCCTAAAACAAGATCAAAACATTCCAGCAACAGAAGATGGTCTCTGACATCACGTGGATTTTCTTAGTCAGGTAAAGTTGCCCTTAGATCTCTTAGTTATCCTGGTGTTTGTTTATTCCAAGCAAAGAATACTCTCTGGTAAACTATGTTGCTTCAACTTTTAATAAAAATTTCTGAATTGTCTATTTTAGGGGGAAAAACCCCACTTGCACTTTGAGCAATACGATGGAAGAAATATTTTAAAATCAAGAATATCCATTTGTTCATGCCTTTTCAATAAGACCCCTTTTTCTAAAATTCTCTGTGCTTGCAATTATAGAAACCAAATTGAGACTAAAAGAATGAACGCCCATATTAATACAGCTGTAGTCTCCTAGTGCTTATAATGAGAAGAATCAGCTATAAATACTAGAGGTGAATCTCTCAAAGTATACTTATGAGAAGAATTATTACAGTGCTGAAGGGCTTCCTTATTGTAATCTCCATTATAATATTTTTTCCTAATGTAGGATGAACTAAAATCTGATCAACAATAAAAACCTCATACTCCTGAAAGATTAAGATTTTTTTTTTTTCAACCATCTCTTCTGTTATGTCTCCCTGAATATAGTAGACAAAGTAGAAAAAACAAATAGATTTAGGTACACTGTCAGATCTCAGGTTATCTCCTGGAAGGGTGGGGCGGGGGGGCAGAGATGAATTGTGTTAAAGCAGAACGTTGGTTCCAGGAGACAGAAGCTGTGAATTTACTCTTTCCAGGTAAGAAACTCTGGTGATGAGCATAGACCAATGTTGCAAACTATATTTTTGGATTTTGACTGGAAATGGCAATACTGAGAATTTCCTTTCTTACTGT